CCGCAAACCAGCTCTGTTGGATCGTAGTCAGAAGACGCCTGAGCAGCCTGGCACTCAGCCGTTCCTCCGAAATACGACTTCTGACATTTGTAGCACTGAAAATAAGCATACTTTTCCATGGCAAATGCTGTGGCGTCGTTATAAAACCGGCTGTGAGGATCCGTAATTTCGGGACAGTTTCTCATGCCTTCATAATCCAAACGCATTAGAGCTTTCTCTTGAATTTCGGCCTGTAAGGCAGTGAAAGGCGTCAACAAACTTTTCAACAGCTGGTGATCTATCGTCTTGCGACATAGTGGACAGGTCATGAAGTTGAATGATATTCTTGGACCATACCATTTGTTTTTCAGCGAATTCTGGCAGCAGTGGTAATGAAACACATGACCGCAAGAAAGCCGGATAGACGGAGCAGCGCTCAGCCGCTCCCAGAAACAAATCATGCATACATCGTCCTCATCTTGATCAACAGAAGACACCGATGCGCAGCTAAAAGCATGAAACATTAAATCAGATAGGCATCGTTTATGGGTTACCATAAAGCAGTCATAATCATCCATAAACAGCAAAGCATTCGCCTTGCAGAAAAGAAAATATATTCTCAGCGATAAAAAAACGGCTTCCTAAGAACCATCCTCTCGTCCTTGCCGCAGAAGCAACGATCAAAGTAAAGGAATGCACAACATGGTGAACTGCGGTGTCGTTTGTTCCCCATTAGCAAGTACGCTAACAATAAATGTTTGTCGTGAAACCCGAGACGATCGGCCAGCGAGACTCTGCTGGATTATTATAAAAGTGGTAATAACCATATAGTGGTTGCGAGGCCGCTGCCGCTGTTCGGCAGATCGACAAATGAGATCTCCTCTATGGAATCCGGTGACGGTCATTTATACAGCAGCAAACAGCCACTGGAGTCACACTGAAATAACGTGGTTGTTCTACTGCGCCTTTTGTTGACAGAGCATAAAAAGACAACCAACCAGAAGAAACAGGAGCTCCTATGACTGCACCAAGGTTTCGGCCCGAAGTTTGCCAACGCAGAGGCCCGAGGACATCCGATATCTCTGACTGGCGCAATATTTTTCTATCGATGCGCACATGATCAAAAACGAAACAAGAACACTGTTTGTGACCCTTGAAAGTTTGGCCTTCCTTAAACTCTCATGATGAGGCCATGCTGGCGCTTTCCTTTAATGAAGTTAATGGTGGGGTGCTGATCGCCATTTCTACACTCTTAACCAAAAGCACCTCATTATAAATACAGAGTCGAGGACAGCTGCGTGACAAGTGTAGTGAGTAGTTTCATGTCTCTTACTCACAGGGTGATCTTATTCACTAATCAAATAATGCAGAAAAGCGAGAGTTCCCAA